ATCTTTTATTACCTCAGGTACTTAGAATATTCATAATGCAGCCAATGTAGCACTTCTGTTTTCATACTTAAGTTTATCTAAATCAGAATGTCAGACTGGCTGTCAGCAGAAGAGATCCTCAGACATTAATGTTCTTAGTACCACGTTATCATTTGAAACAAGAGTGAGCACACTAATGTCTTAAGAGCTTTGTATGTGAAATGTCAGGGTTGCTTTGGAATAAATTTCTACAACAGACAATAAAGCATCTAAGTGATATTCTTTAAAAGAGAAGAGTATTTGTGAGAGAGACTATAAACAAAACCATGTCTGTTCTCCTATTTTGTATTATTTAGAAAAACAGTAACAACAAAGAAACAACAAAAAACATGAACGGGCAACATCCTAAAGTCATGAGAAGCCCAGAGGAGTAAAATCTTTCCTGCATACTTCTGATCTAAGAGACACAATTAACAAGGTATCTTTGCCTTGTATTTCATTCACTCAGTTCATGTTTTCTACTTGCCCTGAATTTAACTGTGAAAATGTTTCATTCACTTATTTTAATAATTGCAGGTTTCCTTTATATGGAAAATGACTTAACGTACTTTGCTATATGGCTGACATTTCTTTGTGACAAGAGACCACTCGAGACAATTTTATCACCTAAAGGAAGAAAAAGAGGAAACTCTGGCAATAACGTTTCATCTACATATCTAAAATTATTCCTGCATTTTTATTACATTAAAGGCATTTTTGTTTAATTAAATATAGACAGTGTATAGCAAATAAGTCTTGGATTAGAAATCAGAAGACCTGACTAAATTCCCTCATGTTTCTTATCAGTTTTGTTTTGTTTTGTTACTACTGGGGACTGAATATAGGGACTACAAATGCTAGGCAAAAAATTTACAACCAAGCTACTACCATATATCTTTTTAAACTTTTGAGAGAGGGTCTACCTAAGTTTTCCATGCTGGCCTTGAATTTGCTATCCTCCTGCCTCAGACTCTCAGATAACTGGGATTAGAGACATGCACCACTACACCAGTTTATCTATCTTATATTAGGTAAATCATGTCAGTTTCATTAGTACAGCTGCAGTATATGATTACATTCCTTGTGGGGAGTCAGTCAGTACATGTACATAACACATCTTAATTCTTTTTCATGCCCTACCCCTCTTCTTCCTCCCCTTTCCCTTCATCTCTTGGACCTCTTCCTTTTGCAAATGATCTATCTCCCTATTTCTTATTAACTATCTTTTATTTTTCTCTTCAATTATTTATGATTTGGGTTTCTCATTTAAAAGAAACCATGCAATATATAAGCTTGCAGGTCTGATCTATTTCACTTAACATTATGGTCTCAAGGTGCATCCATTTTCCTACAGATGACACAAGGTTATCTTTCTTTATGCACAGCAGTATTCCACTGCATGTGAATACCAAATTTTCTTTTATTCATTACTCTGCTGATGGACATATAGGTTACTTCCAAGATTTAGCTATTATGAATTTTGCTGCTGTAAACATGGGTATACATGTATCAGTGTTATACGATGTCTTCTACTCTTTGGGGACGATACCTAGAAGGGGAATAGCTGGGTTGAATGGAATTTCTAGTTTTAGTTTTTTGAAGAATCTCCATACTGGTTTCCATAGTGGTTGTCCTAGCTTATAATCCCACCAACAACATAAGGGTTCCTTCGGCCCCCGCCCCAGACTTGCCAGCATTTGTTGCCATTTGATTTCTTCATGAGTCATATCATTTTTAAGGTCTCAGTTTTCTCATTTGAAAAACTGAAAAAGCTGTCCTTAAATAAATACATCACAAATCAAAAAAGCTAATACATGAAAAATCTTTCCAAATTTAAAGTGCTCTATTTAGATATTTGACGCAATAGACTACTACTTGCCCATTCCTCAACCATTTTCTCATATCTTCTTGATAATAAATGTGCTCATATGGCAATTGCCTACCTCTAAAGGATGAATAATGAATGATTTAAACCAATAATTGGAATCTCACCTACCTATGCCTAGGATTAGTTTGGGGATCTGGCTGGAAGACTGTATTCTGACCAAAGAAATATTGGGGTATGTGTGCTGACACATATTCTGGGAGAGAGTCTCCTCCCTGATAAAAGAGATGGGCATATGGTAAAAAAAAATCTACTACCACCTACATATTCTCCCTTTATACTTAGGACATCATCAAATGAAGATGTGATACCTAGCACCCTGTGACTAGGATAAGTTTAATCTGAGAACAAAAGTAAATATTTTCATGAGGCTACAAAAGAAAGGTGGTTTTGTAGTCCATTTTCTGAGGACAGAATACCACTGACTAGGCAAATTACAATAGAAGTTTATTGGACTCTCAGGCCTGGACACTCAAAAGTCTAAAACCACAGTGCTAGCATCTGACACAAGTCTGTTTACTGCATCAAAACACAGCAGATGGACCCATGAGCACAGGTCTGGTGGAGTCAGAGTGGGAGCAAGAGAACGTGCAGGCACACACACACTTGCTGTAGAGAGCTCTCTTACAACAAAGTCTTTTCTGAAATAACCAGCTGACTCCTGACAACAGCATTAACCTATTCAAGAAGGTGGTATCCACGTGACCTAATCATCTCTTAAAACTGTTACAATAGAAATTAAATATCAACATGAGTTGTAGAGAGGGCATTCAAACCATAGCAGGTGGAAAGAAATTGGATTACAGATGACACTGATGAAAAAGACACTTCTCACTGATCAATGTGATTATGAAGTAAAAACTGTGACACCTTCCTACAGGAAACCTTAATCTTCTCTCCAGTATCAATCAATGTATATTTACTTCCCTGTTTTCCACTGAGGTATGTATTACAATGTGTCATAACTATTTTGTTTTTAACTAGTACAGGTAGCAGTATAAACCTATTGTTTAAAAAATTTTCAAATATGTTAGAAGAAATGTTAGACAACATTTGAATAGTCTTGGTAAGAGGGAACCTTCCCTGAGGAATATGTAATAATCAGAAGCTATGAAGAATACGGTGTCATTAAGCTGAAAAATTCAATGCAGACTACAGAACATATGTGCCACCTATGTAAGAGAGAATTAAGATTCACAATATGTAACGTTTCCTGAAAATAAATGGAAGAAAGATAAATTGCTTAATATAAAATAAGCAACACTGACAGTAGAAATACAAATGACCAATAAGTGAAAACAATATAATAGCACACTAATGAAAAATACAACATAAAATAAATACAAGACTAAATTTAACTCATAAATTCAAATGATTGATGTGATGTGCTGTTAGTGTGATGCAAGGTGATTATTTCATTATTTTCCTGCAGTATAAATTACTTCAAAAGAATAATTTGTCCATTTCTATCAAAATGCAAAACATTAATACTCCTTGTAAATTTCTGTCTTTTTTCAATGAAAAGCTGATTTCATTCTATGTGGTTATGATAGAAACTCTCAATCACAGAATTTGGAATGAAGTGCTATGAATTCTTCATTCTCCTCAATTTTAGTATTTCAAGAGTTAGGCATGTAACAAAAGTGGATGAAGTCCCACTGAGAAATTTCCATATGATTCCTAAAAAAGACAGTTCCTTCAAGTGGATTCATTTAAGAAGGTCACAATCTAAATCAACTGATGATGTTGACACACAGATTTTTTTCAGAGAATTTATTGCACACAGAAGGTAAAAAATAAGAGATTCAGAAACATTTCAAAACCTAGAGCTTGAATCTTTCCATATTTTAAACTATTATCCTACTGAAACTTTTCTTGTAGAACCAAGAGTTTTTTATTCAAGCACCTCAGTTACATTAATTTGAATTTCAATTAGTTGCTGCTGAAAATGTACTGATACATGAAATATTCTCATATTTGCAAAATAATTTATATGCAATACTTCATGTATGATATATTAAATAATGTAACAATAAAGAAATGGAAAGAAGCCTAAATGTCCATGTAAAGGAGGAAACTGTTTTAATAAATGTTTCAGTCATACAGTAGTGAATAGGTATTAAAAACAATGAGACAAAATAATGTGTCTTGTAAGAGAAACATTCTACCTACACTGATACATGAAAAACTCTGAGCTGCAACAGAATAGTACCATATGGTATAATGCTGTACTACCTCAGTTCACAAACACTTATGTTTGCAAACAGCTTGGTTTGGGAACAGAAGCATTAGGCAAAATTTTGCTCCATTCTCCGCAATGGTGTCGAACATGATGCCATCTTCCCTACCGGAACACAAACGTGACCATCTTCCTGAAAATTGTGGAACAAATTAAGTTCATGAACAGAGGTACCACTCTATTTAGATATTTTTTATTAATTATATTGGTACATTTAAGGTATACAATATAATGACATTCATCATTGGAAATTTGCACCTTTACATAATCTATCTTGGTTCTTACTTTTTCCCCATTCCCCTGCTCTCCCTTCAACTCCTCCACCCCTCCCTATTTAGAATTTTTAAAGAGATGCATGTTTATATGTAACTGATAGAAAAGTACTAGAAAGACATATGATGAATAGTTTATAGTTCTTCTGAGTTAGGAAGCAGAAAACGTCCTATTTAATTCTAAACACTTGTTGAAACTTCTATAAGGAATATTTATATGTAACTTTATTGTTTAATAAAAACAAAACTTTAAGCAGATTTATATTCCCGTCAAAGAACACAAGTAGTTATAATCAGAAAAAATTAATGATTTCTTCAAAATTAATAAAGCTGTCCTGTTGGAGAATGAGCATCGCTGCTCTGCTGGGGCAAGCAGCTCCTGGCACAGAAAACTCCTATCAGTAACCCAGTAAGTATAACAAAGTTTTAGAAAAGAAGAGACTTTATCAAAAAAGGGGTGAAAAGAGGACATAGAGCTACTCTGATCACAACTAGAGCAGGGGGCACCGGAAAGTTGAGTGCCCACGAGCCCTCAGCCCTGACCTCTCTCATGGGGTCAGAGACCCCTCTGCCTCCCAGGACTCACCATAACTCAGTTGGCTTCCAGGCACCTCTGCTTCCTTCATTTCTTCCAGTGGTCTTCTGTCTGTTTGCTTGCCTTTGACAGGGCCTTATCTAGGTGGGCAGCTGAACGGAAAGAGGGTTCCTTATTCATGGTTAGCAGGATATCTACTGTAGTACTACAGTGACCCTAAAGTGAATACATATGTATATGTATATATGTAAGTGTGTTAGTCCACAGGTGTGAATACACACTGAATAAGAACTTTCCTCAAGTTAGTCAGCCCCCTCCCACCCTCCCCTCTGCTTCCCCTACATTCTACTGGAGATGGGGAGGGACAGCTATCTCGGCTTTGTGGCTTCCTGTACTTGCTTCTTTGTGTTCTGCCAGTTGTCTTTCCCTCTGGTCTTTTGGTGCAAGTCCCAAGGCCATCTGGTACCTTCCTTTATCTGGGTTTTCTCTTTCTCTATCTATAGTCCTTGACATTTTTCCCAGGGGAATTTCTCTTGTAAAGTTTTAAACTCCTTCTAGTCAACTTGGCCTTTTCCTTACAAAGCAGTGCATATTTTACCAAAAGGAAGGTAAGAAAGTCTCTGTAAATTATGGCTAAATTCATTAAATAGAATATATTCAGAGTATAAAACCTTGATAGATTTTTGATAGAATTATAAAAGTAATCAGAATATTTTTGATATATTTACTATTTTTAAAAGCTATAATTAAGGATAATAGCCTATTTTATTGTACTTTAGCAATCATAGATGATAATCCATTCACTTATTTTAACATGAGTCCACTCAAGGAGTGCTATCTCATTAATTTTTAATTATCCACAGAGATGACTCTCTTTACTTCACTTAAAATTTTGTGCTCAGAGGCCCAGTGAGTTTAAAATTCATTTTAAACCAATATATCCTTCAGATGGAATTAATCAGATAAAGTTATTAAAAACAGAACTCTGGTACTGTCTTAACATGAAAGTAATATATCATTAAATAATTAAGTTTTAACTTCATAGAAGATATTTTGGTCACTTATGGAACACTTAACAATCATTGAAATTAAATCTAAATAAAATTAAAGTAGTAAAATATCAACACAAAGCTAGGTAAGAAAAACAATATCCTCATTCAGTGTGATAACAGGGAATATACACTTTCTATCAGTATGTTTCAACTACAACTTCTTTTAAGCCTTTTTCACAAATTTTAAAACGAAGGCAGGGAGGGAGGGATGGAGGGAGGGAGGGAAAGAGAAAGGAGGGAGAGAGGGAGAGAGAAAGGGAGGGAGGAGAAGACACACACAGAGTAGAGTACCTGGACACAAACCACGCATGATTTATCCATAATTTATTTGCATGACACTTAAATTTGACCTTCTATGCAATCTTGGTCTGTAACTTAATAGTAGTCAGTCTTCACAAACCCTTAATATGTGCCCACATACACCAAAAGACAGAGACAAGTGTGGTTTGATGGGGAAAGGACAAAAAATTGGTATAGAGTCTCTGGCTACTCCCTTGGAATTCCCACTCCAAGATTTAGTTTACATGACTAAATTGGAAATGTGCAGTGTGATCAAAAACTACGGTGAATGTTTAAACTTTTAAAAATTATTACAGCAAAAAACACACTGCCATTAATTCCCCTCAATATATTTTCTCTTGCTTCAAACACACATAAGTCATCAACCCTACTACCTTCCAAAGCAGTTCTGGAAGTCCTTCTTCATGAGTGACTTTAGTAGCTGTCTTATGGCTACCTTGATATCTTGAATCAATTAAGGGTTTACCTTGCAAGGTCATTTTGACTTTGGGGAAGAGCCAGAAGTAGTATGGAATCAAATCCAGCAAATAAGAGGATGAGGAAACTCTATAATGCTTTTCCAGGCTTGCCTTTCCAGTAGATGGAACTCAGCAGGACACCTTATAAATACACTCACCAAAGAGAACTTCCAGAACTGCTTCAGAGTGTTATAAGAATGATGGGAAAGTATGTTCAAAATGAGGGGGATTATTTTGAGGGTGATTAATGGTAATGTGTATTTTCTGTAATAAATTTTTTAAATTTAAACATTCACCATATATTTTCATCATGCATTGTAAATATTAGGTATTACTTTTAATGCAATAATAATGAAGTTACGGTTTCTCCAACCATTTAATTTTAGCTATTTATTAATATCAAAATATATGCTTTCTTTTACATATACAGAATATAGGAAACTGGAATAATTACAAAGTAAAAGTGATAGTAAAGGATTTCCTAATTTGCACCACGATCCTAACAGGAAGTCACTGCTATACAGAGAAAATCCTTAATATTCAATTACTATGATGTCTGTGAGATTTTAGAATCTTAATGTGGTAGAAGAAAATCAAAGGTGATTATGGAAAAAAATTTCAGCCATTTCTTCTAACTGTACATTACCATCTTCTCCAATCTACCTCAAATATCTACTATATGAATTCTGTGTGAGATTAAATTTACTAAACTATAATGGTCATTTGAATTTCATTTTTTGGAAGAGATATTACGTATTATAAAGGAAGAACGAGATCTGGTGTGAAATCTCAAAGGGCTGGCTTACATACCAGAAAGGGCCTAAAATATTTTTAAATTCATTATATACATGTAATTTGTGAGAGTATCTATACAGGCCAAGGAGGAAATAAGAATAAATTTGTAACCTATTTTATCATATTGACATAATGATCAACATTATTTAGTATTCTGCATTCCTCCCAAAATATTTTTCTTCTCCGCAGATGTATTATACTATACCAAGAAATCTGAATTGAAAGTAAATAAACAAAGGATTATGTTGTTTATGAAAAACCACTATTCCGACAAGATAAAGCATCAATTTTATATGTCTGAAAAAATGAACAATTTAAGGAAAACAAACTTAAAACAAGATTATGCTTAATATAGTAATATTAATGTAAAAAATAACCACTTTCCTTGTGAGCAAGTACTTGAAATTAAGTAAGATCATCTATTTCACAATATATTTTTGAAGTTTCACACTGTTTGAAATGACATTATATGCCATGTCTTTTCCTTTTCTCCTTGGGAATCATCATCCTCCCTAAGGCATGGATGATAAATAAGAAGTAAGTTTTACTGGCTGGCACATTTCACCTGTACCACATTGTGAAAAAGTGAAATCAAATTTTCTTGAACTAAAAAACAGAGTAAAATGAACTTGGTCTTACTGTTCTCAAACTTTTATATCATGTCCTTATAAAAATATATTACTACAAAAATAGCATTTTATGCTACTTTACTCCTAAGTTTAGATCAAATTCTTGAAAACTGCTTAACAGAAATTTCAATGAGAATCTTTCAATTAAAGTTTTAAAAATATATACTCTTAAATGCACTTGTATGAATGACTACTTTCATGTCTTATGACAACAAAGCCTACCTATTACTTATTAAAATAAAATTTGGAAGTACTGAAGTTTCCTATTTGCTGACCGTGATTGGATGGAATCAAAACAATTACGTGGAAAGGAAGCTTATAAAAGACTGATTCGGGACTTGGAGGGAAGTGTTATAAATAAATCTCAGGGTGTAGTTCAGATGCCTACACAGTGACTAAGCATATGAAGAAACTTGCACACAGAATATGAAATTGGCCAAAGACAAAGGGAATTTTGTTGAATAATTTTAAAATATTTATTCTGAAAAATCTCAAACATTTCAATATGGTAGTTGCAAAACAGGCCAGACAAGGATTGACTTCTAGCTCTCTTAGTTATTAGTTCTATGAACTCTAAGAAGGTCTTTTAGTTGTCTAAGCCATTTGATAAAATAACAGCAACACTATGTTCACTGAAATCAATAGACTAACATTTTTATGTTGGCTTTTTCATGTGTCTTGGGGATTGAACCCAGAGTCTTCATACTAGGCAAAGACCCAAGATCTTTTTCGTTAATATTTTTATTTTGAGACAGGGTCTCATTAAGTTACCAAGGCCTTGAACTTGTGATCCTCTTGCCTTAACCTGCTGAGTAGTTGAGATTAGAGGAATGTGCCACCATGTCCAGTTTATACTGGATTTTATTAATACAAAAAATAACTATACAACAGAGTTCCAATTCTGCTCACTGAAGAAACAGTCATTTCACTGCTTTTGGGATTGCACACTTTATTGAACATCTTGAATACCTATTCTAAAACAACATGAAAGGGAGAGATTGCTCAGCATACACAGAATCTGCTCAAAACCAAGTTCTTGGGATCATGAGCCCTGCAGGAATTATTTAAAAGGTATATATGAGACTTTGAAAGGAATCTTAAGAAATATTTGATCTTTACATTGTTTTTCATCACAGCATCCTAATTTCCCGTTTTCTCTACACTTCTTTACTCACTCTTTTCATAGAGGTAAAGCTCTGGGCCAGAGGCAGAAGCCCTGCACTGGGTCTTCTTTCTGGACACTTTACTGAGCACTTGCCAGAGCCCATGCTTGATACCAGGCCCTTGATAGGCACATACTCCATCCTAACACCTTTGGTGTGAGGGACAGATACTGAGCACAGGAAGTTCTTGCATTTTACACATATTATCTATTATATTCAATCTTCGCAACAATCCCATTGGGTAAATATAATTGTCATTGTTTTATACATGACAAAAAATAACGCTCTGAGAAGGAAACTCCCCCAAAAGTCAACTTGCTTTTTCCACTGTCTTATTTGTTATCCTTCAATGTTGTTGCCCCCGAGGCTACTAGGGCGATCCTGGTGGCCACAGACACAGATCTTCACTCTTGAAACTGAAATTGACCTAGTATCTGATGATAACTGGTTAGCAAAGGTGGTAAAGTAATCAGGGGATGGAGCCTGGGGATGTAGCTCAGTGTCAGAGTGCTTACCCAGCATGAGCCCCCCACCAAGAAAACCAAACAAAAGAAATCAACATAAAATATCACATAGGACCTAAAAGAGTTTCCCTCTCCTGCCTTTGTCCTGGCCTCCCCCTTCTGCCACTCCCCACCCCCACCACACACACGCTCAGAGTTGTGCTAAGGTTAGGACTAAGAGCACTGAGCAGCTCTTTAACATCCCAAATGGACATGTATAAAGTGTGTATTATGCAAACTGTGCTTAATCTT